CTCGTCAAGAGAATGATGTGGTTAGACTTGAGGTGGATGGGTTCGTGAAGGCTGATACCAAGATTAGATGTGGAGGTATTATTTAGGATTGAGGAAATTGGGTTGAGGGTTTTAGTTGTAAGATTATTAATGTTCCTCCAGCAATTACAAAGATTTTGGCTATAGTTCAAGGCCTTCAACTTTGCTAGTCCATGGGTTTTAGTGATTTGGAGATTTATAGCGATCGTATTCAACCAATCAACTTGATACAATATGGGTATGTTGTGGAGCATCCTTTCCAAGACATTATTGTGGATGCTAGATAGCTTTACTAGAGTGATTGGAATATTGTAATTCATTATGTTAGTAGGAATTATAACTTTTCTATTGATTTTCTTGCTTATTTAGCACATAATTTAGATTTCAATTTTGTACCTATAATCTACCCCCACCTCTAGATTAGGAGGCAATGGCAAATGATAATATAGGGCCTCAAATTTTGTATTATTCCTTTGATTAATGAATGCATCTTTCAATTAAAAAAAACACATTACAATTAACAAATGAGAAACTATTGACTTGAAGCTCTAAAGCATTTATAGAGCGAGGGGAAGTTTTAGGAGTCATTTAGTTACTCAAAAACATGAGAATGGAATGGATTAAATAAATAAGAATAAAAATAAACTAAACTATCCTCTTCTTAGTATAATAAGTATGATCAAACCTAATACCACATGTCACAAATATGATAATCACCACATCCTTAAAAAAGTCTCATGAATCATAATTTATCCTAATATCATGAACTAAATTACTTTTCCTATCATGAACATGGTTGACCCATCTCCCCTCCACATTTTGATCATTTTATTTTTACCATGATACATTCAAGACTAATGTTGCAGGTGAAGAAAAGTGTACTAGAATACAAAAAACAAAAAAAGATGTAGTAAAAATAGTCTTTTACCATCAAAAAAGAAGGTCTAGTTTTGCAAAAGGACATTAATTAAAAAGTTAGTGTTGAAAACATTGCCACATGCAGGTTTAGATATTCTTTAAGGAACATCAGGATTTTGTTATCAATCAAGTATCCCTTGTTTCAATATATAATTAATCTTGCTATATTAGAACAAAAAAAGTTGGTATATGTATTTTATAACTTAAATTTTTTTAACTTTTATCCTAACTTCTTTTGTTGCCTACTAATCAGTTTGTGGTTTCTCCAAACTTCCCAAAATAATAACATAGGCCAGCTTTCCACATAAAGAAAAAGGTTGAAGGGTAAATTTATCCTAGAAATTTTTTACCATGTGTAGTTAGTACTTTTAATTTTCAATTGACATAATGTTATTCTAAAAATTTTAAAAATGGTACACTGTTGTCCTTTAGTAATGTTTGACAAACATTGACTATTGAACAATTTTGATAGTTAAAGAGCAAATTTGCATTGGAATTTGTCTGAAGAAGAAATTGATATCCTAAATGTTTGATGGAAGCTTTGCTCCCTTTAGTGGATGAGTTGTAACGGATGCCTTTAGGACATTCCTAAGTAGCTTCACTAAAGTCCTTTGCTCACAACTTAAATAAGCAACTGGGTATTACGAGTGGTAAAGTGGTTTTGTTCTCACTGTCCCTAAATATTTAGTCTAGGTCATCTTAACTTGTCCCTCTCAGCTTGGGCTAGCCTATATTGCCCATGGACAGGTTCAAGCAAGTCTGTATTTGCTTATGGTTAAGCCTACACAAACTCAAATATACTCAGGGACTTATTTTTGGATTTGCTTATGGATAAAATAAGAGCAAGTCTAGACTCTAATCAAGGGCAAGTTGATCATGAGATGTTTGGGTAAAGCTGGTTTTGCATTTAGTCAACCTTGCGCAAGGCCTCTAGTTAAAATCCATAAATACGAATCATTTTTAAATATTGATAATTGATTGTTGAATCTTTCTTCTTATTAGAACATTGATAACACAAAAAATATTATATTAATTGAAAGTTTAGGATACTAATTGCTCTTTTAAAATAATTTTTTGGGCAAAATTGCCTTTTTAACTCTAATCAAAATTATTCTACTAATGATCAATGTTGGTCAAATGTTAATATAAAACAACATTGCACTATTTTTTAAACTTTCTAGATAACGTTACATTAATCAAAAGTTAAAGATATCAGTTATACTTATGAAAAAATGTCTAGGGCATATTTTCCCTTTACCACAAAATTTTATTATTATATAGCACCACTCTACCTATCTAAAATCTTTATTTAGTGCAACAAATACACAATAAAAAAAATAAACAAGTTGGTTAGGGAGGGGATAATCTCGTCAGCATTAATAAAGTACTAAAGTGTGGTTGTGAAAGAGCCGAGTCATCTTGCCGAAGTTCCTTTTCATGGTGAAAAGTGGACTCATGCCTAACCAATAAAGGTTAATATATATCCGCGTGCACTCTATTTGAACACGCCAATATTAAAATATTATAAAGTGCAAATCTGTTTAAGTTTCATGTCCCATTTGTTTTGTGGTGTGGACATTGAACTTGTTTGATTCTGTTTTCTATTTTCATATTCTCAAAACAATTTTATAGAATGATTTTTTAGAATGAGTTTTGGAAATTAAAAAAAATGAAAGAAAATATGCTTGAATCATTATTTTTTTAAAATATCTAAATTAATAAAATAAATGGTAAAAGAATAATTTATTTTACTGACATAATTGTCATTTATGAAAGTATGATATTTTATACCTTTTCTCTAGTTTTAATTGGCATAACAAAAATACCAAAACCTTAAAAGATGTTATAGTTTTTTAATTCAGCAGAACAATTTTAAACTTTTTGGCTTTTCATAACTGATGACAGAAAACACATTAGGTTTTTTTTTTTTTTGAAAAAACTGTTTCTGAAATTATAACAGGTGACCAAATAGGAGATGCTGTTGTGTGTCAGCTTTATATAAGCCAAATCATACCAGCATCAGAAAATGGGTGTATATGTTTATAATATAGGCTAAAATTGTAATTTAACTTTTAAGTTATAGGCCCGGAGTATTTAGGACTGTAATTTTTTTTTTAAATATTTTCATCTCTAATCATTTTTAAAGTCATGGCTATCACCCTTTGCCATTAATTTTAACTATTAATTGGTTACAAAACTACAGAAGGGGCCAAAAATTAGAGAAAATGACCCAAAAATTACATAAAATGACTCAAAAAATTAAAATTAATAACTTTGGGTCATTTTGTGTGATTCTTTTGATCATTTTTTGTAATTTTTAAGCTCATTTTCTATAAATTTTCTAATTTACTATTAGTCAAAGTTAAATGGTAGGGAAAGATTATTATAATTTTAAAAGCTTAGGGGTGAAAATGCACCAAAAATGAGTTTAGCATCTTAAATACACATAGACTTATAGTTCAAGGGCCAAAATATCATTTTACTTTGTATATATATGATGGTGTGAAAATTGTTTCAAAAAAATATTTTGCAACGAGAATATGCTTCAAAATTTGAATGGAATCTGGAATTAAAAAAAAATACCTCGCAATGACATATACAAATATGATCTATATTGGAGCTAACCCACTTTCCCACCCAGAAAAATGTTCACAAGTGGATCTTATAATATTAGTCAGACCGCAAGAGAAACACACTCCATTTGTGGAGGTTGTAGAAAACACGATTCCTTAAGGCATCAAATCATGCTTTGATTTAAAATTCTAATAAAAATACTCACACATCAAAAAAAAACAAAGAAAAGAAAAACGCGTTTTCCTTTTTGATTTTGTTAAAAACTAGATGTCATCTGTGTCGAATGAAATTTGAAAAAATGACTTAATCCTAATTATTTGTTTTAATATTTGTAATATAATTAACTAAATATTTTCTAACTCACTCATTATTATTCTCTATTCAATGAATTTCATTAAGGGTAATTTTAAAAATAAAAAAAATTAACTGATTATAACTAAATTTCTTAATTATTGTAAAATAATTAATAATTAACAAGTCTTTATAATAAGAACCAAACAGAATACTCCTAAACTTATATAATATAAAAAAGAAATTAATAGCATTGTTGCCTCTAAACTATTTGTTCAAGCTTCTGGTATCCTAAACTTAAATGTTGTATAATTTTTCTTTCAATATTTGAAAATAATATGTTAGGCAACCAGTTAATAAAAAAAAGTTAATTTTGAATATTAATTGACCTAACAAATTATAAAAGAGTACATTAAAAATTATAGAAAATGACATAAAATTACAAATAAGAACCCTAGTTATAAGAAAAAATATCTGATTAAGTTCATAAAATAGTATGATAATTTATAAATCTCCCCACAAATTGTGTTATTTATAAATGAACACATTTTTCAAAATAGCTGAAAATTTTTGGAGGATTTATAAATTTGAAAAAAAACTTACAAATTATAACACTATTTTGGGTGTTTAAGTGATATTAATTTTTTTATAAGGTATTTATGTGTATTTTTGGGTTTTTTTTTGCAATTTTTCACTTTCTGCAATTTTTAATTCAAAATTGTCAAAGTTACAGGAAACCCAATACATCATTTTAAATGTTAAAGGAAAAAATTACATGATGACGCTGCTCAACAGATAATTGAGGGTCAAGAATATTCTTTAATCCTATAAAAATCATTAATAAGTCCTGCTATATATCCATGGGTTATTGTAGTGCACCGCAATCCATAAGAAATTTTATAATTAATGCACCGGCCATAAAGTGACCGGCGGTGGAGTGTGGGTGCGTGTTTGCAAATCCAACATATATAACTCATTTAGGCACGTGCAAGTTGACTGGTCTACCAGTGTGTATTTGCGTAGTCTAAGAATAAGCTTCACTAAACTAATTAATAAATAAATATATAAATTAAACCTCCTAGTTCACACTTCACATGCATGCACATAGTTAGTTGACTAGTACCTTGCTACCTTATATATATATATATATATATAATGTTACATTCAATTAAACTAAACCAAACCATGAGCAATTAAGAGTGAGCCAACAGTAATATATCTCACTAGCATGCCTTATATTTGTGAAGATAATTGCTTGCCTGAGATGGGAAATATGAGGAGCTCAAAGAAGACAAGAATCATTATGGTGCCATATCCAGCTCAGGGACACGTAACTACCATGCAGAAGCTAGCCATGGCGTTTCTCAACCTTGGGTTCGAACCAATAATGGTGCTTCCACCAGTGGCTCTGCCACGTACATGTGGAGGGGGAAATGCACCCCCTCACATGAGAAAAATTGCACATGTAGTATGAGAAATTTACAATCTTATACCTTATATTTTTAGCTTTTTAAGCTCTCTAGACTCAATAAAAAATATTTAGAGGTCTAAATTTAAAACTCACATCAACCTTATTAGCATATTTTTAATAAAAACATCTCAATATATTTTTTCAAATAAAAATATGTATAATTTTACTCATGTTAATATATTTTTGGCCTAAGGTAATTAATTTTAAAAAATTCGAAAATTATTTTTTAATTATTTATTTTTAAATTGTATTGTCCTGCACCTCCCTACCCAGGTCTTGGCTCTACAATCGGATTATCGTTCATCATCATCACCATCGTGGTGATCAGATCAAGTGGGTCGCTGTATCCGATGGGTTTGATCAGAAGGACACTGCCACAGCAGATTTCTTTGGGATTGAATCAGCCATGGAGAACACCATGCCTGGTCAGTTGGAGGAGTTGATTCAGGAGCTTCGGGATGGCGGTGGCGGCACGGTGGTTTGTGTGGTGGTTGAATTGCTGGCTTCTTGGGCTATACAAGTTGGCCACAAGTGTGGTATCGTTGTTGCTGGGTTTTGGCCTGCCATGCTTGCGACTTACAGATTGATTGCTTCCATACCTGAAACGGTTCGATGCGGCCTCATTTCTGAAACGGGTATTTGTATAGTTATTTAACTCAATTTATTTATCACGAAACTCTGAGAATTATTTCTTATCAGTTGATCGATACATACAACACCTGTAAGTGCAAGGGGATTGATCTCGATCCCTTACTTATTTCATTTAATTCATGGGAAAATGATAAGTAAGGACCTGATAAGAAGATTAATGTCAAATCAAAATTTTTTTTAAAGATTTCAATACTAAAACAAGGGAAAATGAGTTATGAATTTGGAAGTCTTAATCGTGAAAAGGTCCTAACTTGACATTAATATTCTTATGATGTCCTTATTTGTTATTCTCTTAATTTTCATTGGGAGGCAGATATCATGAAAAAATCTATCTCAAAAGATACTAATAAGGAGGAGTGTGTTATATTTATAAACCACATTTTTTAAAGATATTCTAAAGTGGGACTCGTAACACTAAATATAAGTCAATCAAATTTTTATCATTGAACAACATCATTTATCAGATATTCTTACTAACAGACTTAGTGTTAGATTTATGGTTATATTCAGCTAGAGACAATTTAACATGAATCCAAAATTCTTTATCTTATGTTCTTATAGTTAAGAGACAAAATTAAAGTGTATATATATATATTTATATATTTTATTATCAAACTAGAAACTAAAACTGAAATATTTAATTTACGAAAAAGTGCTTATTTCAATAGTTCATATAAATTATAATAAAGCAAGCATAACTTTTTTTTTCCTTGCAATTGTATGATTTATATGTATACAAATATATATATATATATATATATGAATGCAATAATATGAAGAATCTAACCTAAAATCTTTGATATACTTGTCTATAGGATTTCCACAGCATGATTTCCACAGCAAGATGCTGTGCTATCCTGTGGCAGGTGATCAGTTCTTGAATTGTGCTTACATCGTTCAAGTTTGGAAGGTAGGTATGAGGCTCAATGGACTTGGACTGAAGGATGTGGAAGAAGGACTGAGAATGGTGATGGAGGATGTGGAAATGGAAATTAGGTTAAGGAATTTGCATGATATTGTTATTGGAAGGGATGATCATGTGAAGGAAGATCTTAATTTGAAGGCCTTCATTGAAAACATGAAGAAAGGAGCTTGTTAATTAGAATGTGCCTTTAATTTTGTTCAGGATGTTTTTTTTTTTAATGCTTAAACTTTGGCATCTCGTGTATTTGACCCAAACTAATCCAGTTGACACCTTGAGGATATCTCTTTGAGAGGCATGCCTTCCTCTGAGAATTTAATTGCTACTGCATATCTAAAGCTTGAACTTAAAACTACTAGTTAAACTAGAACAATCTTGTTATTAGTAGATACAAGTGCTTGGTGGTATTTTATTCAAGAGGTTAATGTCTAGTAAATTTTCTTTTCTTTTCTTTTTCATGGTTGTTCTTGCAAGACATTTGTAAGTTATCTAAAGTGTTTTCCCTAAATGTCGTTTGATGTGATCTTCCCTAACTAATTAAAACAACCTTCTAACTAGCACATTGTCTTGATCTACTTAACGAACTTTATTAAGAATAATTTTAAAAATTTAAAAGCATGAACTAACTTTACCTAAATTCCTTGGTGTATGTAAAGTTATTAACAAATCCTTATAATATAAGGATCAGAGAGAGTATTATGTTTAAAGACCTATTGTCTAGCTATTGTTGATTGCGGATTAATAAGTAGAAAATAAGACTTTAATTAGTAACTTTTGTAAAACCTGCGGACTTATCATAGAATTAATCGAGGTTTTGATTTATAGTTTATTAGATTGATTCAGTATCTATTTGGACAACTTGAACTTGCCCATCCTTGGTTTTTTTTGTCATGCCCATGAGATCTTGCAAAATCTATATTTTAAGTTTTAAATTTGTAAATATTTTTTAAAAAAGAACTTTTCAAAAAAAAAGGTAACCATAAGAAAATTATCTGTGTTTAAATAAAAATAATTAAAAATATAAAAGAAATAACATTAAATTAAAATATCCAATTTTAAATCAGGATTATATAGACAAGTACTCACCATGAATTCCCATATTTCAGGGGCTATTTTCAATTATAGGCTTTTCCAGAACGGACCACAATGCGATAATTTTAAAGAAAAATGTAACTTTTAAATCCCTATACTTTACATCCAATTTGCTATTGATTCCTCACTTTATTTTCGGTGCTCTAAGTTGCTACAATGTTTTCCGCTTACACTTTATATCCCTACACTTTTAGAGGGGTGCTGATGTGGCATTAATGGTATAAATTATACTAATATGGATAATAACATCATTAATTATATGGTGATATGTCAGTTAGTGGCCGATGTATATTTTTTCTGGGGTAAAAAAAAGAAAGGAAAGCTTATATGTACCCCCTTCAATTCTTATTATAAGACACTTTTAACCATTTCATGTATATTAAAAATGTTCATTTTTTTCTTAATATTGTAAAAGAATGATATGTACTTTCATTTTTATCTTTTCTTTTAAATAATGATATAACTATATTAAATACCTTTACGTTCATCAAGAAAGGATAAAATTGAAAAAAGTATGTAAATAGGACCTTTGGGATTTTTTTTAATAATCAAAAAGTGAAAAAAAATTGTTCTAACTCCAAACCTAAATAATATATTTTATATACATTAAAAAATAATAAATTATTTTGAACCCAACCCCAAACCTAACTTAGAATACAAAATCACAAGAAATGCACCCTAAAGCACAGAATTGCAGTGAACCTAAAAATAAATACATGACATTTTCTTGTAGCCTTAAACCCTACTTATATATATATATATATATAATTATTAAAAAATACACATCAACTTTTCTTTCTTTTTTTCTCAAAAAAATACACATTTGCAACTAACTGACACGTCACTATATAATTAATAGTGTTATTATTCACATCAGCATAATTAACACCGTTAAGGCTACATTAGCATCCCTTTAAAAGTGTAGGGACTTAAATTGCAGATGGAGAAAACTGTACAGACTTAAAACATCAATAATAAAATATAGGGACCAACAACAAATCAAGTACAAAGTGTAAAAATTGAAAGTTATGTTTTCTCTAATTTTTACATCAACATGCCCTTTCAAAGTAGTTGAGAACAGAAAATTATATACATCATGGGTTATAATTTTGGAATTATATTTTTTTGTGAGAATACTTTTAATTTGTTAGTATATGTAACTTCAATCTAGAATGTTTACTTCAAAATTATATTATCAAAATCAAATTTTGGATAATTTCAGTTAAATTTTTGAAAAACAATTAAATAAAATTATTTAAATTTTTCAACATATTTAATATAGTCGTTTGGGAAAATATATCAAGTTGCATACTGACATTAAGATTATAATATTGTAAAGTGTAAATCAATAACTGTGCTCGATAATGCCACCCAAAAATAATATATTAATACTTTTGTGAAACCGGCACACTATTCCATGGATTTGTTCAGATATGGTGATATAAATGGGTTGCCTTTATATATCCGGAATCATAAACATGTAAGAATGGGTTCAATAATTTAAATAACAATGCTGTGGAATGGTCTTTTCTTGTATTCAAAATAAGGAAAATTAAATATGCAGAAGAAATTTGTAAAGGATTTGTAATTAAAAAAAATTAAATGAGCGAAAGTACCTACTTTTATTCTAATATGTACCAAAATTTCAAAGAAGAATAAAGTTTGGGAGTGGAATGACCAAATTCAGATCATATAAAAAAAAAATTATATATTGGTATTGTGAATATTGTTATGGAATTGGACGTTTTCTCGAATATATATAGTTCACACTTTTTCTTGAAATATGTCATGAATATTGATATCTCTTGGGTTCACAATTGTTCATAAAAATTTGTAGTTATATTATAAAATTTTATTAAAAAAGGAATTTTTTGGATAATGAAAAAAAAAATTCTTGAAATATTGTGTGATAATATTGGAAGAACCATGCATTTGGTGGAAGAAAGCTTGCATGCATGGAAGACGACTTGCACATATAAATTATATCTTCGGTGTCCATGGAAGAAACATGGATGCATATGGTTAGAGAAACTTTCATATGATGGAAGAAAAAAGCTTGCATATATGAAAGACTACTTGCACTTTTCTCGGTGTCCATATGAAAGAAACATCCATACAATTAAATAAAGTATGGTGGAAGAAAACTTAAACCACACACAGATATACATACATACATACATACATACATATATATATATATATAGTTTATAAAAAAAACATTTGTTTATCACACACTTACATGAAGACTACTTGTTTAACACCCTTAACATTGAATTAACAATTTTACAAATATTTAAAACAATCAAATTTCACAATACACGTGACGAAAACTAGATTTGTTTTTTTGGTTCTCATCAAGTGATGAGTATTTAGATAATCCAGATTTACCTTTTATTTTATATATTTATTTGGTATTTATTAAAATAAAAATTATAAAAATTTTAATAAATCTATCTTATATCAACAAAATGGACAAAGCAGATTTAATTTGAATAGTCCAATCTAATATTAATTTTTTTAAATTCTTATAACTTGACTATTCAAATATTCTCTAGATAGTGTAAATTTATATTAAAATTTTCTAGAATTCTTATTAATTTTTTATTTTAGTAAAAATATGATAAAAAATAAAGATACTTTCTAAACTGGATCCTTAAAAAAATTTAGAAAAAAGTTTCAAGTAAAAAATTTTAAATCTAAACTATCCATAGTAGATCTAGATAGTTAATTTAAAAAAATTTAATATTAAATTGGATTATCAAAATTAAATATGTATTGTCCATATTTGTAATAAAATAGATTTATTAAAATTTTATATTTTTTATTTTAATAAATGTAAAATAAAATAAAATGAAATGAAAACTGTAAAATTGGATCCTCCAAATTAAAAATCTAACCGGTTCAAATTGCGTATCACCTAGTCTGATCACCGAAATCAGAACCCACAGCAAGGATCCTGCTTTTAGGATCCACAAGAAAAATAAACACTCAGAGTCCAAGCTACAGTCAAGGGTCTTCCACCATCGTTAGGCCATACACAATCATTTAGATCGAACATATAATGCATGAAATAAAACATAATCCACAATCAATAGCACAATATCCAACAACATTCACAGATTCAAACAATACAATTTAGCCAAAATAAGGAGCATTACAAATCAGTTTTCAAACTTCTACTGAAGTCAAATCCTGACACTTGGTATTTGTAATAAACTCTCAATTGATAGCATGCATATAAAGTATACAAAAAAGAAGTGGTCTGGTCTGTTTAGAGGATGGGAGATCACTGCTCAAGTGTCTCCAAATGTTTACAAAATTTTTATTCTATGACAACCATCCAACACCATTGCAATAGGGTGAAAAACAATTGCCTATAGGTATAAGTAATGGTTTTTGGTCATATAACCTACCTCCGTTACCTATAATCTAAGGTAACAGTTTTTTCATACTTTAGGCCATGGATCATAAAACCATTAGCTTATAGTGAGATTATAGACAACGGGTTTAGAGTGCTTTAATATGCAATGGTTTTAGCTAATTAAACAAGTAATGGGATTGAATTTCAATAACTAAAAGTAAATTTTTTAACTCATATGCTTAACTATAGTTGTTTATATTACTGATTATTCAAAAATGTCATAATAAAAGTGGATCACTTTCTAGTATCGAGTTAAAATTTAGTGATTGTACAACTCTTTTGAGCGTTTCCTTTTTGCTAATTACAGTTTAGGATTTAGGTGATAATCGGCCTGCACCTTTTGAAGCCAATTATAATATCCTAAACTAGTAAAATCATGTTGAACACACAAGTTGTCCTCTACATTTACTTTAATTTTGAGAAATGACACTAAAATCATAAAAGAAAAAATTAATAACAGTTAAGTTTTAATAATTTTTTTAAAATAATAAGTTATAAATATTAATTCAAACAATTATAAATAAAAAAGTTAATTTCAAACTAAGAGTTACTTTTTTAAAATTTAAATGTCTTATTTTTCATTGGAACTTTTAAATTTATGATGATTTGGATTGATATTTGCAACTTATTTTTTCAAAAACTTTATTAGATACATAACTATCATTAAATCCTTATTTAGGAAATTAATTG